TAGCGGCTAGACGCTCGCGTGCTGATCGGAAGGTCGTGGGTTCGCTCCCTGGTGGAGCCTGACTTTTTTTTTTTTTAAAATGACCTTGAATCCCTGGTCGACCCAGCCTTGAGTGGGAACCTGCTGCAGTCCCAGGAAGTGAAGGCGGCCGGCGTGATGCTGACCACATCACCCATCTTATGCCGATTAGTCTATAAAAATGTAGGTCTAGCCCTATATGCCTTATACGCCTAAAGGCGTGGAAAAGGGACCTTTACTTTTACTATTAGGACGAGGAACTTGAGTATCAGAAAGTGGCATCGTGAATTGTGGAACAACGAAATTCGAATGTCTGCCACCATTAATAAACACATGCTCAACCAAAATATTCTTTGCTCAACAGTTAACATTAATAAAGGTAAAATCTGTTACTTAAACACCGGTATCGAAGATTAGTTGCGTATCCTTTACAGGACGTTGCAGAACCAACCATATCAGCCCCTGGCTGTTGTGTGGTTTCACTAGGCAAATTTACGTCCAGTAGTTTGCCATTGCTCCCTGGACGATCGGCTCCCTGATACCACTGTCGAAACCAACGCAAGGCGTATTGCCCGCAGCTGGAATCGAACCCGGTACCCCGGCATTACGAAGCGTTCGCATCGACTTAGCCACAGAGCCGACGAAACACCGGTAAATAGCAGTGATATTCTATAGTTCGTTCAAATTCTCATCAACACACTTTCAAGCCATTTTCTCGAAAACTGCAAGTTAGATTGCAGTAATTTTTTGCATGCAGCGTTAGGATATCCATCAAGCAAAACTATTGATATTCTTTAGTTCATAGATGCTCAGGATGTTGAATACCAGCCAGTTTCTTTGATCTTTTCGGACCATTGTAAATAAGTGGAGTAAACTTTTAGATTTTACAGTAAAAATCTGAATTTCCGGTTCTATTTTTTGTCAGAGGCGTGTCTTCATAATACATTGATAGGTTTGAGTAAATTGTATGTTTTGTCATTTAAGTTCATTTGAGTTGAACTGAGTCAAGAAAGACATCTAATCACTCGGGGCGTTTCCATATGCGCTCTGTCACCATCTTCAGCAGCCAACACAGAGTTCCAGTACTAATAGTACCGGACGCAGTCTGATTATACGTCCATCTAGTACGGGTGAGAGCTGAGCATCTGAGAAGAAACACTATGGTTAGTTACGTATCCTTTACAAGACGTTGCAGAACCAACCCTAACAGCCCCTGGTTGTTGTGTGGTTCTTCTAGGCAAATTTAGTGTCCAGTAGTTTGCCATTGCTCCTGGACGGTCGGCTTTCTTGATACCACTGTCGAAATCAACGCAAGGCGCATGGTCCGCAGCTGGGATCGAACTCGGCATCTAGGCATTACGAAGCGTTCGCATCGACTTAGCCACAGAGTCGACAGAAGAAACAGACTAAACACAAATGTTGCCAACGGCAGTCCTGAAATCCCATGCTATAATCGTGGAAGACTTTATTTTTAACGCCGGCGGGTCTTGCTAGTTACATTCGTCATCGCCACGGGCTGTGAGGCCCATCCCTCCTTATAGCGCAGTATGACACTATGGTCCGGAAAGAAGGAAAGGTGCCAGTCAATCAGGCTATATAGAACTGTAAAAGAAAGAAAACATGGGGCGGGGCGGTGAGGCTGGGGAGGGGAGGGGTGTAGGAGTTTTGCCACATTGTCTAGGAAACCTCAAAAAGCCTTAGTTTTTGTTTTGTTTTTGAAGTGCTTATAAATAATGAAATTTATTATAACAACAATATAATAATATTAATATAGTAATAATAATAAGATGGAGAGGGCCAACGGTTGAGAGAGATGACTAGACAGTCAACAGAAACTGGTGACCCCACGACACGTAGTTTTACGGGAGGATGATGATGGTGATGATGATGATGATGAATATAGTAATAATAATAATAGTGTGCTGAATAAAAAACAAATGTAGTAACATTTGAAATAATATAAGATATTGTGTAAAACAAAAACGTAATAAGATGACGTCAATACATAATTAGGTGGTGCCCTATTACGGTTTTCGGAGAGCCAACCCCCCTCCCCCTTTTCTACCCTCCCCCCGCCACACCAATATATTTTTTGACGTCGGGGGGGGGGGGAGGGGGGAGTTGGGGTTGGCTCAATATACTAAAGCCCTTTTGTTCTGGCGCACATCTACTTAAACACTCTTCAACACTCCTTAATACTTTTTGACACCCCAAACAACAGCGTGTTAAACATTTAACGCGCTAGTCTGCAGAGACCGGCACAGAATCGGAAGCTCACAGAGCGTTAAACTCGAGGGTTAAACAGTCTAATTCGGTGATCTCAAGAGTCATTGGGAATTCAGAACTTGGCATGACATTACTCGGTGAATTAAGTAGGTAGCGTTGCAGTGCGGCTTATCCGTTGTAACCGCGATTTTATGCAGCAAATGGATGGGAAAATCACGCTCTGAGAGCATCATAGCTCAGAATTGCATCGGAAAATCAATATGGATGTGATATGTCTAATGACAATAGTGTACAGATGCCAACTGTGCTACAGCTTAACGGGGATTCTTAGAATATTTCACAATGGCCCGTTTCTATTCCACGTTTGAGTTGAAGGTTAAAGGTTAAACTCGATAGAATCGACTTTATTGCACCGGGTTTTTATCGCATATGGCTCGGTCTCTCTCCACAGAACGGCTAGCCGCCTGTCGAGAGCATCGCACAAAGCATGAACTCCGTAGTTCCGGCGACGATCCCCGGACATCTTCGAAAAAATTGCACTCATAAACTGAACAACGTCGCCGTGAAATGAACCTGCGTGTGGGATCCGGAGCGCCATAGTAGGCAAAACAGGAATAGTCCCACTTCCTCCGTTACAAGCATGCCGTAAGAGTCGACTAACTAGGGGTGTCCTTCAAAGTCGGAGTGCGTCTGCCTGAGAGGCAAAGAACCAACATTCTGCCTAAACATAAGCTAGATCTGTAAACGGATGTGCATGCAAACCGCAATTTCTAGAATACTAAAATAAAATAAAAAAAATAAAAGAAGAAGCTCAGAAATTGAGGAACAACCAAAAGTTTCCGCTGGAGTTTACAACCGGTGAATGCATGCGCTTAAAAATCAACAACACAAAGACGAAAGATAGTGAGTGTCCTGAGTGCGGCATCTCTGACATGGAAAACTGCACTGGAGATTGCACAGGACAGGAAAGCATGGAAAGTCCTCTCTGAAGCCTCATGTGCCACTAGGCATAACGAGAATTGATGATCATGAAAATAAACTTAACCCACCTACACAAGCTTCAGACTGCTGTTAAACCGTGTCTGTACACTGATATAACTATAGTATACTGTTTAGTGTTAGTTGATTCTGTGGCTTGGGCGTTGCGAACGCGCCTCGAAGCCCGAACCCAGAGGATTTTGCAATTCAGAAAATAAAATAAAAATTATGGTGAAATCTTGTTGCCAGATCAGTCATTAGGTAAATCCCCATCGGGCCCACAGGCACATAAGGCAAAGACAAACTGTCGCCACTCAACTCTCTATCTCTAGTTTCGTCCTTCACATAGCCTTGAGTTCAGCCTCCAAGGTTCGCCTCCACGTGCCTCTGGGCCTGCCTCTTCCTAGCTGTCCTCGTGGTGTCCATTGCATTGTCTGTTGCGGCCGTCTCTCTTTCTTCATTTTGAGGACATGTTCAATCCACCTCCGTCCTTGTTTTTTGATTTCTAAATTTATATCTTCTAAGTCTCTCATTTGTTGTCAGATTAACCAATCAAAATTGCCTGCAAGTGCATGAATCCAGCAGAGATAACTATTAAATCCCCTAAGTAGCTGACGAATAATGAATTACGTGCCCTGAACAATGAATCTAGGCTGAGTCATGAAGTGGATTGAAGGGAAATATATTGTAAAGGGTACTTTAACTCTGTTATGTCGTAAATGGGAAATCGTAAGGGCTTATCTCTTGCTGCAGCCTTCTAGGAGTCCGGTTAGGGTATAAAGAGTTGGTTTTTCTTTAACTAAAAGGTTTTATTCCCGCCAGACTGTGATGACGTCTGCAGAGGCAGACAGTAAAGTAAGTAAGTAAATATCGCTTTTCCACGCCTCTAGGCGTATAGGGCTGGACCTATATTTGTATAGACCAATCGGCACAAGATGGGTGATGTGATCAGCATCACGCCGGCCGCCTTTACTTCCCGGGACTGCACCCAGTACCCACTCAAGAATGGGTGGACCTGGAAGTCAATGTCGTTTTTTGAAAAAACGTCCTTCCGATCCGCACGCGAGCACGAGGCAGCCATTGGCATTGAGAATATCATCATTGGAACTGATCCGAACACCCAAGACATAGATCTATGGAGATGTATGACACTTGATGATCACGATGATGATAATGCAGTGAATAAATGAATTAGAAACTAACACATCACTGCGCTCGGGTCATTCCTACACGTGATCCGTCTCCTTCTTCGGTAGGCAACGAAGAGTGGACATGCTACTAGTACCAGTTGCTACCTAAATAAAAGTCCACCTATGTTTCCATCTCCAGTGCTGCACGCACTCTCCTCCCCAGTGCTGAACGCACTCCCCTCCCCAGTGCTGAACGCACTCCCCTCCCCAGTGCTGAACGCACTTCCCTCCCCAGTGCTGAACGCACTCCCCTCCCCAGTGTTGAACGCACTCCCCTCCCCCAAATGGGATTAAATGAAGAGGACAATAGACTCCGCAGCAAGAGAAAGTATGGAATGACATCGGTCAGAGAGAGAGAGAGAGAGAGAGAGAGAGAGAGAGAGAGAGAGAGAGAGAGAGATAGAAAGAGAGAGATAAAGGGAGAGAAAGAGAACAAGAGAGAGGAATAGCGATAGAGCAAAAGAAAGAGTGGACGAGAGATAGAGAGAGGCTCATCGACTGGATTACTTAACGGATCCATTAATGCTTCTTCCAGTACACCATGTCCCTGACCGGAAGTGCAAGCCGGCTATCTACAATATGTGAAGAATGAAAGTCTGCTACTGGATATTTCTAGTCACGTGCTTACTGGCACTCCAGGTCGCCTGCTGGAGGAGGCGAACGACGATCCAGTGAGTATGGACCTTCTCCTTCTTCCTGCTTCATTTATCTTTCTCATTTGTTCGCCTTCCTTCTTTACCCTTCTCCTGTTTTTGATTTTTTATTTCACATTTCAGTATTGTCAGTGTTATATCATTAAACTGTTCTACCTATAAACCCAATGAACGCAAGATTCGCCCATTATTCGTTTCTTTTTACAACCCCTAAGGCTTCTGATGCCCAATACCCCATGAACTATAAGATTTAACCTGGGTACTTTTTTAATATCCTACCCCCAGATGGTCACAAGACAGTCCAACATTTTAGAGGGTTTTAATACTTTCTGATGCTTTTAACGACCCCAAAACATCTAGAACTGACCCTACCCTAACCCACTTACGACACACGAGAGAGTGCAGCCTAGGTCCCACGACTGCATGCAGCCTATCTACCACCCCCTGAAATATTAGACTGTCCCGTGACCTGTAGATATTCCATGTTTGGGGTAGGAAATTAATAAAGTACCTTAAACTGTACCAGCAAAACACGTATACTCGCACATACGTACTTTCCCCATAAACACATGCTTATACAGTCAACCATATACATGTCTCCGTATACACCAGTAGACATACGCGCATAAACAAATGCACACTCCCTAGTCAACCACACAACACACATATATATCCACACGCTAATAACATTCACACTTACACACCCCACGTACTTTTGGCGGCGAAGACTAGGGGAGCCACCCCTACAACGCCAAAATTGTTAAGGGTGGCCCTCAGGGGTAAAGAAGAGGGGGGAGGGAAGGGGTGAGGGGGGGGGGGTAGTTCTTCCTCTTGATGTTTTAGGTAGGGCAAAGCAGACCCGTATTACCATGTATAGAAATTATCTTTAAAATTGTTTGTAAGTTTAATATGACAGTTTTTAAAGTATATGATTATATTTATTTACTATGCGGCATATTGTTGTTATTTGTTGTTTTTGTTGTAGTTGTTAGCATTATTTTGGAGCCCGGCCGGCGTGTTGTTGACCACATTATCTACCAAATGCCGATCACCATTAGTTGCGTATCCTTTACAGGATATAGCAGAGCCAACCTCATCAATTTATTTCTCTGCCGTGGTGTTTCTAGGCAAATTTAGTATTTTGCCATTGCTTTATGGACTGTCGGCTTCTTGATACCACTGTCGAAACCAACGCAAGGCTAGGATCAAACCCGTCACCCCAGCATTACAAAGCAAGTGCTGATTAGTCTATAAATATAGGTACCAAAATGCAGGTCTAAACCTATATGTCCAATACACGTGCAAATCGGCTCTATAGTATGGGAGCCGCCTTGGTGTAGCGTCTAGAAGCTCGACTGTGTTTTTAAGGGTCGTGGGTTAGAGTCCGAGCGGAATGGACTTTCTCAATAACAACAACAAAGTCTTTTGCTCTTAGGTCAACCCATGTTTGAGTGGATACCAGGCTAAGTCCTGGGAAGTAAAGGTGGCCAGCATTATGTTAACCAAATCACCTATCGAGCGCTGATTGGTCTATATATATAATAGGTCTAGCCCTATATGCCCAACACACCTGAAGACGCAGAAAAGGTCTCTCTACTTTACTTAATTTTTATTATATTCTGAAACTAGGATTAGGCCTCTTGAGTTCGCTAGCTTTTTTGCCTATATTATGTGTAACCCTGCGAGGACAAGTATTGAGTCCGTCCTCCTGAATGTTTTCTTTATGTTAACACACACACAATCAGTACCCACATCCACACCAGTAAACACGCTTTCTTACTAACTTACTTAGTCGACCCTCTTCTGCTTTGAGTGTAGACGTTTGCCAGAGAGATCACCATGGACTGTCGGATGTTGTCTTCCCAGCGAACTCTGGGTCGCCCTAGAGGTCTGATTTCTTGGTTCATGGTCCCCGATGCCTGCCGTGGTGGCCGATTCTTCTTCATTCTGCATACATGTCCAAACCATCGTAACTGAGACTGATCCACTCGAGTTTGTAAGGCCTGGGTTTCCAGATCCTGACGTCTTGTCAGGCTGAGAACCTTGTACCTTTTTTTGTACCACCTCTCTAAGATATGGTCGGCTCTGTGGCTAAGTCGATGCGAACGCTTCGTAATGCCAGGATGCCGGATTCGATCCCAGCTGCGGGCTATGTGTCTTACGTTGGTTTCGACAGTGGTACCAAGAAAGCCGACCGTCCAGAAGCAATACCAAACTACTGGACGTAAATTTGCCTAGAAAAACCACACAAAAGCCAGGGGCTGTTGGGGTTGGTTCTGCAACGTCTTGTAAAGGATACGCAACTAACCTTTAACCTCTCAGATATCTCATTTCTGAGGCATGAAGCTGGCTTCTGTAAGCTGTTCTCATTGCCCATGGCACACTCCTATTGGCACACACACACACACACACACACTTACACACATATAAATAGATTTCTGCCATGTGGTAATCTGTGCCTATGTGTCCCAGCTTGTGCCACCCACCCTCGCCTGAGAGACAAGTGGAATTTTCTGGATGACAGCAGAAAGGTGTATGTTCGCATCCGAGCCCATCAGATGACATACAAACACGGGTCAATCAAATACATCAAATACCGGTGTGTGGAGAACAGGGGCAACATTTATTTACTGAGGTAAGGAGACATGGGCGTGTGGAGAATAGGGGCAACATTTATTTACTGAGGTAAGGAGATATGTTTGTGGAGAAAAAGGGCAACTTTTATTTACTGAGGTAAGGAGATATGTTTGTGGAGAAAAAGGGCAACTTTTATTTACTGAGGTAAGGAGACATGAGTGTGTGGAGAATAGGGGCAACATTTATTTACTGAGGTAGGGAGATATGTTTGTGGAGAAAAAGGGCAACTTTTATTTACTGAGGTAAGGAGACATGAGTGTGTGGAGAATAGGGGCAACATTTATTTACTGAGGTAAGGAGACATGGGCGTGTGGAGAAAAGGGGCAACATTTATTTACTGAGGTAAGGAGACATGGACGTGTGGAGAATAGGGGCAACATTTATTTACTGAGGTAAGGAGACATGGGCGTGTGGAGAAAAGGGGCAACATTTATTTACTGAGGTAAGGAGACATGGACGTGTGGAGAATAGGGGCAACATTTTTTTACTGAGGTAAGGAGATATGTTTGTGGAGAAAAAGGGCAACTTTTATTTACTGAGGTAAGGAGACATGAGTGTGTGGAGAATAGGGGCAACATTTATTTACTGAGGTAAGGAGACATGGGCGTGTGGAGAAAAGGGGCAACATTTATTTACTGAGGTAAGGAGACATGGACGTGTGGAGAATAGGGGCAACATTTATTTACTGAGGTAAGAAGACATGGGCGTGTGGAGAAAAGGGGCAACATTTACTTACTGAGGTAAGGAGACATGGACGTGTGGAGAATAGGGGCAACATTTATTTACTGAGGTAAGGAGATATGTTTGTGGAGAAAAAGGGCAACTTTTATTTACTGAGGTAAGGAGACATGGGCGTGTGGAGAATAGGGGCAACATTTATTTGCTGAGGTAAGGAGATATGTTTGTGGAGAAAAAGGGCAACTTTTATTTACTGAGGTAAGGAGACATGGGCGTGTGGAGAATAGGGGCAACATTTATTTACTGAGGTAAGGAGATATGTTTGTGGAGAAAAAGGGCAACTTTTATTTACTGAGGTAAGGAGACATGAGTGTGTGGAGAATAGGGGCAACATTTATTTACTGAGGTAGGGAGATATGTATGTGGAGTATAGGGGCAACATTTATTTACCGAGGTAAGGATATGTGTGTTTGTGAAGGATAGGGACAACATTTATTTACTGAGGTAAGGAGACTCGGGTGTATGGAGAATAGGGGCAACATTTATTTACTGAGGTAAGGAGACATGAGTGTGAGGAGAACGGGGACACCATTCATTTACTGAGGTAAGGAGGTATGTGTGTGTGGAGAATGGGGACAACATTTATTTACTGAGGTAAGAAGATATGGGCGTTTGGAGGCATAGAGGTAACATTTATTGAGTTAAGGAGACATGGGTGTGTGGGGGAATAGAGACAATGAGGTACTTTGAAATCGAAAAGAAAATTTTTAACTTAGTAAAGGAAACCTATGAAGACATGAAATCTCCAGTCTTTCATTAAGGAAAGCTAACAGGTACATTTGAAATAGAAACAGGTGTGCGACAGGGATGTTTTTTGTAACCTCTCCTTTTTTTTCACTCGTTAAAAAAAAAAAAAAAAGAATTCAGTGGAGCCCTACAAAACAGCTTGATGATCTGGTCTTCGATGATGATATTTCTCTTCTGTCCCCTTCACGGAATCAGATGCAAGATAAATTAAATATACAGGATACGAGATCACAACAGCTTGGTCTGAAAATCCATAAAGGAAAGACAAAGATAATGAAAATGAATCAGGCAAATAGTAATGTTGTTTCTCTTAATGGCACCCCACTCCAAGACGTGGAGTCGTACACCTATTTGGGCAGTAATGTAGATAAAGATGGAGGAACTGACAGAGATATTAAAATAAGAATAAAAAGGGTAAGAGGGGCTTTCATAGCACTAGGGAATTTGTGAAGGTCAAAAGAAATTAAAAGAAATGCAAAAGAGCGGTGTGTTGAGTGACAGACACAACATTTATTCACTTCTTCTTCTTCTTCTTCACTTCCTCTTTTACCATTTCTTTTTTATTTATTCACTGATGTAGTGAAATGTAAGTATATACATTACCCACCGACCATCTATTGGTCTTTTAAATTATGTCTAGTCCTATATGCCAGACAAGAACAAAACTGTCGAAAGGGCGCTTTACTTTCATGGAATGGTTGCGAGAAAATGTAATAGAAAGGAAAGCAGCCTACGCCATACTGACAACATAACCAGCCTCTTCTTTTTCTCCTTAAAGTTTATGCCGTGTGGCGTTGGTATTCACGTCTTTCCACAGCCTTCTGTATCGATTACTCTCAGTCAACTCTGACACAGAGGATTCTCCATGTTATGATGTCAAACTGTCCAGCATCTGATCTCTTGGACTTCCTCTCGCCTCATTCGAGTTTTCCTACTGTTATGATGTACTCCAGTTTTCTCCTTTTCATCACACGATCGAAGAATGCAGATTGTCTTTTCTGATGTGAGCAGTCAGTTCTCTCTGTGAGTCAGCTTCTTTCCAGACATCTTCATTACTCTTTTTATCTGTCCGGGATATTCTCATCATTCGTCTACAAAACCACATCCAAATAAGTCTTCACTAATTTACCAACTGTCCATGTTTTACTTCCGTATATCAAGATAGTATTTATATATCTGTTAAGATTGCTCTTTCTCGTCTCAATAGACGAATAAAGACTGCATAACAAATTCTACATTTTGTAAAATGCTACCTTTGCTTGAACTATTCTACATTTAACTTCTGTAATACATCTTCCTTCTGATGTTATCAGGATTCCCAAGTATTCAAACATGTCAACTTATCACCCATTCTTCTTCTTCTGCCTTTCTATCCCCCAATGGATCATAGGCCCTCAACTAACTCACGCCAAATCGTTCTGTCCTTCGCCATTACATGAAACTCTCCCCATGTCCTCCCCATCTTTCTAACTTCATTCTCCTGCTCTATTTTCCATGTGTTGTTTGGTCTTCCTTTATGCCTATGCTACTGTGGGTTCCAATACAAAGACATTCTAGTTATGTTGCTGTTATGCTTTCTCAGTGTGTGTCCCATCCAACGCCAGCGTCTTTTCCTCACCTCTTGGTCCACTAGAGCCTGTTTAGTTCTCTCCCAGAGTTCTACATTAGTTATTCTGTCATACCATTTAATTCCCTCTATTTTGCGCAGGCACCAGTTAATGAATGTCTGTAATTTATTAGTACTTGCCTTAGTTGTTCTCCATGTTTCCGCCTCATACAAAAGTACAGATTTGACATTAGGATTAAACATTTTTAGTTTAGTATTTCTTTTTATTTCTTTTGACTTCCACAAATTCCCTAGTGCTATGAAAGCTCCTCTTGCCTTTTGTATTCTTATTTTATTATCTCTATCAGTTCCTCCATCTTTATCTACATTACTGCCCAAATAGCTGTACGACTTCATCTCTTGGAGTGGGGTGCCATTAAGAAAAACCACATTACTATTTTCCTGATATATTCTCATTATCTTTGTCTGTCCTTTATGGATTTTTAGACCAAGCTGCTGTGATCAAGTATATTTAATTTATCGTGCATTTGATTCCTCGAATGTGACAGAAGAGAAAAATCATCAGCGAAGTCCAGATCATCAAGCTGTTTTGTAGGGGTCCACTGATTTCCATTCTTGGTGTTAGCAGTTGCTGTTTTTATAATAAGCCAGTAAAAATAAGAATGGCGACAAATGACATCCCTGTCGCACACCTGTTTTTATTTCAAATGTATCTGTTAGCTTTTCCTCGCGAGGAACTCGACATTTCATGTCTTTATAAATAGCTCTTTCTCGTCTTAATAGACATATAAATACTGCGTAACATTTTCTTCATTTGTAAAATGCTACCTTTGCTTGAACTATTCTACATTTAACTTCTGTAATACATCTTCCATCTGATGTTATCAGGATTCCCAAGTATTTAAACATGTTAACTTATCACCAATTAAGAGAAGATAATTCTATTATGGCTAGATAATTCTATTAGGGCAGATAATTCTGTTAGAACGGTCCTTACTTTTGGCGTAGGAAATGGATGCAACTGTAATTTACAGATGCATTCAGAGGACATGACAGGAAGAGGATATAAACCCTGGCCATATACAAGTCGATAATATGAAAATCAAACGAACGGAAAAATATAAGTACTTGGGTGCACACTTCAACTGCTCCAGCATGCTGAGAGAAGAAATACAATCCAGAATACAATCTGGAAATAAAGTATACTATGGCCTTCCCCATGTGCTACAGTCAAAGTGTCTGTCTCGCAACACCAAGATCAAAATATATAAAACGTTGATAAGACCAGTTGTTTTATGGCTCTGAAACGTGGAGCACAACTAAAAGAAATAAAGCCTTATTACAGGTTCTCGAAAACAGAGTCTTACGACGAATCTTTAGACTTATTAAAGAAGCAAACAACGGTGAATGGAGAGTGAGAAGCAACAACGAAATTCATAATCTGTTTAAATCACCACTGATAAATGGCATCATGAGAGCTAACAGACTGAAATGGTTGGGATGTATTGAAAGAATGTCAGATGACAGAGAAGCAAAAACTGTATACACGAGGGAGATGAGTCGTTGTACACCATGAGGCAGACCAAGAAGACGATGGGGAAATAATATCTAGACAGACCTGCAAACACTTGGTGTCAGTAACTGGAAATAGAAGACCAACAAGAGAGATGAAAGGAAATGGGTGATATCTGCAGCAATGAACCTCAAGGTTTCGGAATGCTGAAGAAGAAGAAGTTGGAAAGGAAATTAGGTTGTGAGAGTTATGTGAGGTAGAGCGGTTTCCCAGAATAATGATGATGATGGTAAGTAAAGTAAGTAAAAGACCAGTTTTCATTCTAATAGGTATATGGTGCCAAATCCACAAGAATTGAGTTAACTCTTTCAGTACGATACATTTTGTCAGGAGTTTCAAAGGGATGAGAAGGCGGTAACTGTAATAAACAATCAGGCGTGATTTGCTTTTGAAGGGGCCAAACAGGCAATAATGTGACCTGAGGAGAGGAAATATATACTTTGTACATTGTGGTCAAACAAAAGAAATAAAATAATGATGCAATGTTTGGAATGTTTGGTGAATAGGAAATAAGACTTCCTGCGTTTCTGGGGGCTAATAGAATTGATTTGTGTATCTTTTTCTTCTTTGTCTCCTTCAGAAAACGCAAGTACAAAGAGAATGCAGACGGTGTGCTGTGTCTGGGTTTCAGCTTTGTGGCCGACCATCCCAAAGCCGAATACGCCATCTTAAGGCTCATGGGTTAGTGTTTAACTAGATTTAATTTTTTTCCCTAGAATACCTTTGTCAGTCATAAAAATCAGGGGGGAGTTATCGGATTCACTTTATTAGTGATTAGCTCCAAGATCTACCAATGGGTACAAAGAAATGTCCTGCGAAATAAAGGCAGTAGCTGTAATGCTCACTATAACACAGAGCTCGATCTCTTGGCCATATGGATGAGACGAAGCAAGAACTATGACCCTGGTCCGTGATTCTGGTGACTGTGTGAGATGGCGAACATGACCGCCTACTCTTAACGTCAGGGCACATGATGATGATTCGATGATATACTTCGCTTTTGAAAATACATGTTTTTGGGATATTTAAAAAAAAAAGGGGGGGGGGGGGGAGCTTCCTTTCTTCTTTTGTCGTCTCATTGATACCAGGTTGTAGCCCAGTGTTGTGGTTTTGTCGTCTCATTGATACCAGATTGTGGCCCGGTGTCGCGGTTTTGACGTATCACTGATACCAGGTTGTAGCCCAGTGTCGTGGTTTTGTCGTCTCATAGATACCAGGTTGTAGCCCAGTGTTGTGATTTTGTCGCCTTACTGATACCAGGTTGTAGCCCAGTGTTGTGGTTTTGTCATCTCACTAATATCAGGTTGTAGCCCAATGTCGTGGTTTTGTCGTCTCATTGATACCAGACTGTAGCCCAGTGTCGTAGTTTTGTCCTCTCAATGATACCAGGTTGTATGCCAATGTTGTGGTTTTGTCGTCTCACTGATACCAGGTTGTAGCCCAATGTTGTGGTTTTGTCGTCTCATTGATACCAGATTGTAGCCCAGTGTTGTGGTTTTGTCGTCTCACAGATACCACGTTGTAGCCCGATGTTGTGGTTTTTTCGTCTCATTGATACCAGATTGAAGCCCAGTGTCGCGGTTTTGTCGTATCACTGATACCAGGTTGTAGCCCAGTGTCGTGGTTTTTCTTGTCTCACTGATACCAGGTTGTAGCCCGGTGTCGTGGTTTTGTCGTCTCATTGATACCAGGTTGAAACCAAGTGTTGTGGTTTTGTTGTATCATTGATACCAGGTTGTGGCCCAGTGTTGCGGTTTTGTCGTATCACTGATACCAGGTTGTAGCCCAGTAAAGTGGTTTTGTCATCTCACTAATACCAGGTTGTAGCCCAGTGTCGTGGTTTAGTCGTGTCACTGATACTAGGTTGTAGCCCAGTGTCGTGGTTTTGTCGAATCACTGATACTAGGTTGTAGCCCAGTGTCGTGGTTTTGTAGTTTCATTGATACCAGGTTGAAACCAAGTGTTGTGGTATTGTCGTATCACTGATACCAGGTTGTGGCCCAGTGTTGTGGTTTTGTCGTATCACTGATACCAGGTTGTAGCCCAGTGTTGTGGTTTTGTCGTCTCACTGATACCAGGTTGTAGCCCATTGTTGTGGTTTTTGTCGTCTCACTGATACCAGGTTGTAGCCCAGTAACGTGGTTTTGTCGTATCACTGATACCAGGTTGTAGCCCAGTGTCGTGGTTTTGTCGTATCACTGATACCAGGTTGTAGCCCAATGTCGTGGTTTTGTCGTCTCACTGATACCAGGTTGTAGCCCAGTGTCATGGATTTTCTGTATTTGGCTTGCGCTTCCCTTGTGGCATGGGTGGTGGATTTGGTTATCTTTTATCCATCTCTTTCTTGGTCTTCATTTTCAATTTACGTTCACTGCCTTCTATCCATATTTGCAAGGGTCTCTGTCTCATTTTCTGGAAACTGTACCCTCCATCACCCTGATCGGCGCAAGGGTCGCCCATGGGCTTGACGGTAGACGATCCCCCTCCCTCCCCCCAGCAAAGAAGCCAGCAGTCCATCAGTGTTGTCTCCAGGTCATCATGACTGTTGACTTGGTCAAAATATGCCAGCATGTTGTTTACGAGCAAATTCTCCTTTAGACATTTTTTGTGTTTGTGTGTAGGCGCTCCTGATTCTGGAACTGCTCTTGCTTTCCGTGTGTGTCTGAGTGTGTGCGTCTACGTGCGCGCGTGCATGTGTGCGTGTCTGTGTGTGTGTGAATCTGTGTGTGTGTGTGTGTGTGTGTAGGCGCTCCTGATTCTGGAACTGCTCTTGCTTTCCGTGTGTGTCTGAGTGTGTGCGTCTACGTGGCGCGCGTACATGTGTGCGTGTCTGTGTGTGTGTGTGAATCTGTGTGAATCTGTGTGTGTGTGTATGTGCAAAGAATCATCTTAATTGTGTTCACCGGCTGTAAACCCCAGCGAAATGTTATTGTTGTTGAGTCTCTCATGTGACCTTGGTTAAGGCTGTAGGTAGTGGGGTTTGGGTTAGGGCCAGTTCTACATGTTCTTGGAGTCATTGAAAGCTGTGTCGTATAGTGCAGAACACGCGACATCGGCGCTGATGAAATTGGAGAGAAGACAACGTGACACCCCTGTGACATTGAAGAGTATGATAAATTGTGAATGAAAGGTCAAGTAGTGTATAAATGAGCCTGGAAACGTGAACAGAACTGGAGACTGTATACACAAGCTCACTCAAATATGACATTTTCCTTGTCAAAGGTCATGGAGACGGCTCCCACCTACTCAGCCCAGTTGTCGTGCCCCACGATGCAAAAATTTCCATTGAGAAGGACTGCGACCTTGATGGAGAGTTCATGGACGATGACGTGTCTTACACAACCAGTGCTTTCATCCGGCGGGCACGTGAGTATATCTCTTTATACACTTATATTGTAGGTACATAGGTGCATTGCAAACCCCCCCCCCCCCCCCAAAAAAAAAAAATCATCACGTTTAACTAGCATTCCTAAAGGGAGAGCTTTAGGTTACTTGGAACTTGGAAACAGAAAACAAAAATGACAAACTGAGTCCTTTTTTAGCCGCCTGAAGGCGTGCTTTTTCAAGGACGGTTTCTTTGCTGTCTGACATTCGTTTGTTTCTTTGCGGCGATCGTTTTTGCCCAAGTTTGATTTCTTGCTGCTGCAACATGTCTGCTCCTCGGGCTTGGTGGGCGTAGTCCGGCTTTTTGGGAGTGGATTTTGGCAGCCCTGAGAACGACTGATACTTTTGCCTGGGGCGGCCTGGAACGGGAATGGGCAGCTCTAGGTTGAAATTTTGGCTTAGTTATATGGGCCCTATAAAATGGCTTTGCACTGCTCGCCATCGAGAGTCCTGAAGAGGAATCCTGCAGTGTTGATGCGATCAAAGTAGACCGACCCAAATACTGTCCAGACCGGCGACGAAGTCTTCTACCGGCGAGCCAGCGGGTACCCGGTCGCTGATTATCAGTGAACTGAATGCATTTTACACCAACAATATAGAAGAACGAAAAATGTGAGGTTTTACTTTATGAATATCCCTGACTGGTGTGCGACTCCATATTTTGAAGTTACGTTTCACCAGCTGAGCTGAGTTGAGTTGAGTTAGGTCAAGACCTGACATCACAGCACTCGGGGCATTCCCATGCGGACTCCGTCCTCATCTTCAGCAGCTAGTGCATGTTTTCTAGTACTGATGGTAACGGTCACAATCTGGTTATACGTCCGTTAAAGTTTTACCCAAAAAATATTAACCATGCCTCTAGGAATATGTAAACATAATCGGATCTGCCATCAAAATGGTTTCTGGATATTGCATATTATTTAATGACTGCATGTGCCCGGCTCGTTAGCGTAGTTGGTTAAAGCTGACTTCGCGGCGACCAGTTGACAAACTCCTTGTAGTCCGGGTTCACGATAAGGGGTAGGCAGAAAAGTCGCATTTTCCCCAGATTTACGGTACCTATCATGGAATCAAGGCCGAAGGGTTGCGATATCCATAGTACCGAGCCAAAGGGTTTACAACTCATGGTTTATGGATACTTAAAAAAAAAAGAAAAAAAAAATTACTGTGTGTGTGAATTTGTTCATATTTATTTGCGAATCCTGGGAAAAGATGTATCTGTTTGTCTGTCCATCTGATTTGCTAGTGTAGCGTCATCCAAGCATGTGCATTCAACATTTCAAACCTTTCTCGCATCTAAATATTCATATATGTCATTCTGTATCTATCTCTGCGTGTTTACATATTTAACAATGTGTCTCTTTTCCAGTCTATTTATATGTCTATCTGTTATCGGTCTGCTGATACACGCTTGTGTCTATTTAACATATCTATCCGTTTGAAAGACATCTCCCTGCTTGAATGTTGACTGCCCTCTCTATTTATCTACTTTATTATCTTCTTCACAGTTCTCGGCTGTTTCGTCGACATTATTTACCTATCTATCTGCCTCACGTCTCATTTCATCGACTTTCCGCAAGCAGAAGCACACACAATCAACAATCCCCACATCAAACATAATCCCCCTCAATAATCAATCCACATCACCCATCGTGGCCATCTCTAATAAATCAACATCAAAAACGATATATTCACGCCTGCATTTGTCAGCTTTTATTCAGGCAATTAATCTGATTCAGCACCGGAGAAAGGCTACGCCTGCTCCTGTTTACATAAGCTAAACATAGAC